ATGGCTTGGAACTACATCTTACAAAATTCCCAAGGCAGAATTCAGGGAATTGTACTCTGACTTGGAGGCCAGCACATTCGTAAGGCTGCTGTAAGAAATCTAAAGCTTCTTTCTTGTACACTTCCTTGGAATGTATAATATATTTATTTGAATATGTAAATTTATTTATTTGAATATGTAAAACTTTGAAGCAACTTTGCTCTCTGTTCTACAACCAGAGAGAACAGAACTGCAGTTCTCTTCCTCTGACAGTGATCTTTAACAGTTTTCAGAAATCTCTCTCATTGTTCCTGCACTTTAACCTAAGGTTATCATTTAGTCCTCTTCATCAGTCCGTACCCCTGTTCAAATGTGATTATTCCAGAAGACCTTCACTTGACAGATACCACATCTTAGACTTTTGTTCTGGCAGGGTGTGGTCTATGCTTGCAGAAGAATGAAGCGGTAGACACTCCTGATATATTACATTTACTGTATGGCCTTGTTTTATTATTGTTGTTGATTACAGTTTTACTCAACAGGTACAAATCTTCCTCCAGTGTAACTGAAATGATCTAGCAGAAATTTATCCAATGTAAAAATAAGGTCTAATTGCATATCCTGCAATAAAGTCAGCACATCATTTGGCTCTGAAATCATAGAATTACATCATTGCAAACTAGAAGTGGAAAATACATATTCTGAAAGTTCCTCAAGTTATTCTTTAATTTAAAAAGGCCTCTGGTTTTGTTTATGATGTCCAAGGAAGAAAGGAAGATGATAAGCCCTGCTGAGTTAGTTTTCTTCTTGTATTGATCTATATATAGAGGAAACCCATTCACAGATTTCTCAGGCTGGGGTCTGAGTATAGTTTGTTCAGTTACCTATATGAGTGATGTGTGTATATACAAACATTGTTTCAGCAACCAGACAAAATGGCAGAAGACTGGTTTTCTTAGAGGTTTTAGAAAGAGCAATATTTATCCCAATTCCCCAAAAGCCACAGTTCCACTGTATATGGACTACAATATTTAGATTTTAAAAAATGTAGTGAGTGTAATCTGAGAATTTTTACTACCATATATAGTTTCACGTTCAATCTACTTATTATGAAAAGAGTGGGTGGCCTATGTAAGGTCACTAACATACTTTATTATCATTGGAAGCTCAGATAAGAGAACTGCATTTTTTAAAAAAACATTGGAGATACAGTGAATATGCAGGATTAGTTGCAGCTTTTTATCAAACAAATATTTAGGACGTTTTCAGTAGTCAATATCAGTTACGAATACAATGCTTTTTAAAAAAATAAATAAACCCAGGGAAACCAATTAATGGATACACCTAAAACTGGAGTAGATGCAAGATACGTATACTTTATTATCATTGGAAGCTCAGATAAGAGAACTGCATTTTTTAAAAAAACATTGGAGATACAGTGAATATGCAGGATTAGTTGCAGCTTTTTATCAAACAAATATTTAGGACGTTTTCAGTAGACAATATCAGTTACGAATACAATGCTTTTTAAAAAAATAAATAAAACCAGGGAAACCAATTAATGGATACACCTAAAACTGGAGTAGATGCAAGATACGTCAGGTTGCATTATCTTTAAAATAATAGTTTTAGGTGTTTGGATATTATAATATCTGAGTACATCTTGAGAAAGCTTTGTTGCTTTCTCTGTTTCAAATAAAGTCCACTGTCAATTAAAACCTTGACTTTGAGAACAATGTTTTCTGGGAGCTGACCTATATAAATGCTTGCATCATTATCACTGTAGATTTTTTTTTCCTCTGAATTAGCAAAATGGAAGAACTGGAGTTAAAAATAGACTAATGTAAATTGCCCACCAGTGGAATATCATTTTTTATTCAACAGTTCCACTATCTAGAACAGAAGGGCACCATCTGGAGCCCTAACACAGCATGTAGCTCCCTAAAACCTTGAATGTAGCCTTTAGAGGCTACCAAAATCAGATACCAAGCTGTAATTTTTAGTGAGAAAGAAATTTATTTAAATTTGTTATACCCACCCAACTCCAAAGGACTAAAAAACCAAAAAAATCCATAAAAACAGATAAAACATAAAACCACATAGACAGTCTGGGCTAAAAATCTAAAAGCAACACAAATCAAAACAAATTATTATTTATTATTATTTAATACATTTATAGGCCACCCATCTTGTATAAAAATGACTCCTATATACAACTAGAGAGCAATCACATTCACTTTAATTTTATCCAGTTTTTATCATGGGCCTACCTACTACATTTTGGAATGTGGCCTAGGACGTCATTCTAAGCCTCCCTTAGGCATGAAACCGGCTGGGTGACTTTGGTCCAGTCACTCTCTCTCAGCCCAACTCACCTCACAGGGTTGTTATTGTGGGGAAAATAGGA